CCTCCGTGAAGTGGCTGAATCCTGTACCCCAGTGCTTCCGGGCCTCGGCGGATGCCGTGTCTAAATACGACCACGCCACCGGGATGAGAGGTGGGATGCAGCGCTTGTACCGGAAGAACTCGGTGGACAACTCGTGCATGAGGGTGTGTAGAACTTCTGAACGCACGAGTTCCTCGAAGTTCTCCGTGCTGCCGAACCAAGACGTGAGACATCGCAGTACCACTTCCCGGTCGCAACTAATCCGCCGCCCATTCTTCACATGGTCCAGCCTGCAACACTCACACTCCGTGCCTCGCAACGTGAAGCCCTCTAGATCACCACGCAGGTCTTCGAGCGCTCGGAAGTCATGGCGGTATGAGACCACGCTTGGGTAGAAGCCAACGGTCAGGATTACTGCTTGCGTCAACCAGAGGACGACTTTGTTCTCCTCCGGGATGCTTCCGACGGCAAAGGTGGTGCTGGCGAGCGCCAGGGTCAGCAACAGGTAGCCTCGGCTGTCACTTGCTGTGCAGATCGACGGACCGAGGTGTTAGTATGGACAACCGAAATAGCAACTAGGCGGGGAAAATCGGTGGTTGCTACCCTAACCCTAAACCCTAAACCCTAAACCCGAAACCCTAATTAAACCCTAAACCCTATACCCTAAACCCTAAACCCCAAACCCCAATCTTTCGAGATCCTTCTCTCTGTCTGAGTCGCAGGGTCCCAACAGCACAGGACGCACCACGAGGTGATGTTCGGCCCCTTCTCGAGTGTGAAGGTACCCCGACAGCTCCTTCAGCGCAGGCACAGAGCCAAGGTTGGGGTTTAGGGTTTAGGGTTTAGGGTTTAGGGTTTAGGGTTTAGGGTTTAGGGTTTAGGGTTTAGGGTTTAGGGTTTAGGGTTTAGGGTTTAGGGCTCTAGGGGTTTAGGGGTTTTAGGGGTGACGGGGTATAGGGTTTAGGGTTTTTGGGTTTCCAGTTTAGGGTTTCGGGTTTTAGTACAGATATGTTTACAAATACACAAATAGATATATAAACATTATACAAGGTATATGTATATACTCATCCTTCTCATATGATGACGTTTTTTTCTGCCTTTGTACATGTCCAAGCACAGGCACAGAGTCCGGTTGAGGCAGCTTTGGGAGCGGCAAAAGGGTGGGGACACAGAGCTTCACTGATTGAATCCGAGGAACGAATATGCACCAGAGCCGGTGGGTGTAGGTCGGATCCCACAGAACCTTAGGGGCTGGATACCCTGGAGCCCCCCCAAAATGGTCTTAACCCTTCATATCAACAGTAGGATTCTACATAACCAACAAGGCTAAAGGTTACTGCCCTAAACCCTAAACCCTAAACCCTAAACCCTAAACCCTAAACCCTAAACCCTAAACCCTAAACCCTAAACGCGCTTAGGAACGAGCATGGACTCCGAGCACCTCAGAAAGGCACCCAGAGACAGGATTCCGGCAGCCTTCCTCGCGGGATCGCGCTGGTCTATGCCTTAGCTTTGGAGTAGACCCTGGAAAAAAAGTATATACTTTTTGGGTTTAGGGTTTAGGGTTTAGGGTTTAGGTAAGAAGTGGCTATAATAGGAACCCAGAACCAAAAAAAGTATTAAAGTATAGTACTCCAAAGCCCAGATGCAGAGCACGTCCAGAAAAATCGCTTGCCGCGCCGGCCAGCAGACGAGTGTCGCACCTCATCGGAATTCATTACCTCCTCAACAAAAATAGGCTCAGTAGGGCATCCTTTGCGCGAAAAATCTCTATACACAAGGTAAGATGCAGCAGGGACAGGTTGTTGTTGTTCTTTAGACACCCGAAAATGCGTGCGTCGCTGCGCGTTTCAATAAGCTTGCTTAATGTCGTAAGGATTGAACGATTTCAAGAGGCCTGTGAAAATCTGGGGGCCATGCATGTTTACTTGGGTTGCAGGCTAATAGCAACTACCATGAGGAATTACCTTAGACAAGTTACGCCTAAAAGCTTTAAAGAGACCAACACCATGTTCTACAGCCACAGCTCACGTGGTCAGGCCGTGCGGGAATGGCACGACATTATAGATTCAATGGTGGAGGCCCCCCCCCCCCTTTGTGTGCGCCAATCAATGCTGATGCCTCCTTCTTCTCAAGAACATCGAATTTCTTAACCATTCTGAGGGGGTTCGACCCGTCTCTGCCTGCTAAGGTTGAGTTAAACTGAAGCCTAGCTACGCTAGCTTTCGTGATGACAGTATATATCTATGTAAAACATGTACACATATACACAGATGTGTATCAACCTGTATGTATATTTACATATATGTGTAATGTTGCTAACTGTATCAATATCAGCTTGTCACCCAGGGCGAAGAACTTCACCCCCCCCCCCCCCTCCCCCCCCCCCTCCCCCCCCCCAAAAAAAAAAAGAGAGAGAGAGAAAAACGCATCTGCCTGAAAAAAACTAGCTGCAAAGCCCCAAGAGCCCTAACCCCCCCCCCCTTTCCGCACAAGAAAACTCAGAGGCAAGAACCCAAAGAGCCCAATACTCCTCAATTGAGGAATATGCCCTAATTCATACCAAGGATCCCTGCATAGGTATATTCCTCAATTGAGGGGTTTCGGGCTCTCTGTTCTAAGGGAATCCAAGCCCTAAAACAACAATGAATCAGGGTCTACTCCGGGTCCTTGCCCTACCCCCCCCCCTTCCACAAACCCGAAACGCTAACCCCTAAACCCTAAACCCTAAACCCTAAACCCGAAACCCTAAACCCTAAACCCTAAACCCTAAGCCCTGAAAGAGTTTGGAGAGAGAGTGGCTGTAGAGCACGAGGCCCACCGCAGATGCCCAGAAGCTGCGAGGATACGCATAGGTATCCTCGGGTCGTATTACCATGGAAGGGCTTTAGGGTGTAGGGTTTAGGGTTTTGGGGTTTAGGGTTTAGGGTTTGAGGTCTTAGGGTTTTAACTTAGGAGGGTCAGAAAGGGAGGAATTAGGAGGTTTATGAGCCTCAGGAGATTCCTCTTTGTCAGCTCGCCCCCAACTCTCCCCCGCGCCCCCCCCCCCTCGCCCTCGCCCCCCCAAACAACACAAAAATCAGAGGGTTCCAGAGAGCAGCTCAAGATCCCAGTAGTCCAGGCCCGGAAGGACCCCCACGGCATACAGGCCCGCGGCCGCCAGCGCACCCAGCGTCGACACGCAGGTGGCCGGAAGCGAATTGTAGAGCCACAGGGCAGTTAGGGCCTCTGGCTAAGGGTTTAGAGTTTAGGGTTTAGGGTTTAGGGTTTATGAGTTGAGGGTTTATGAGTTGAGGGTTTGGAGTGCCTCTGGCTCTTTGCAACTTGGGTTGTTCAAGGCTTTATCAAGGGTGGCTAAAGGGTTTCAAGGGTTTTAAGGGTGTCAGGGGCTTTCAGATGTTTATAGGGTTTGTGAGTTGAGGGTTTGAGGGGCTGTCAACATTTTGGAAGTTGAGCAGCAGTGGAAGCCACAAAGAAGCTGGCAACAGACCCAAAAGCCCCTTAAGCATGGGAACATGGCTATTTCCCTGAAACGTTAATCCTTGTTGTAGGAACCCCCCCAAAACGGTACCCCCCCCCTATTTTCGGAAACCCCCGCATAGAGTATACAAGGTCTTTCGTAATCCCCTAAACCACACCCTGAACCCTAAACCCCAAACCCTAAACCCTAAACCCCAAACCCCCCTCTTTCCGGAGGGCCACCTTGAGCCACTTGTTGCCATGCCAACTGTGGCTCCAGAAGGTAGAGATCCTAGATTTGGGAGTAACCTAGGAATAAAAAGGGTACCCTGTTTGGTTTTTAATTAAGGGGATTTTCAGGGAACCCTAAACCCTAAACCCTAAACCCTAAACCCTAAACCCTAAACCCTAAACCCTAAACCCTAAACCCTAAACCCTAAACCCTAAACCCTAAACCCTAAACCCTAAACCCTAAACCCTAAACCCTAAACCCTAAACCCTAAACCCTAAACCCTAAACCCTAAACCCTAAACCCTAAACCCTAAACAAAAGAAAAAAAGGGCCTACACCGGTCCTAGGTTCCTTGAGGTCGGGTAGCTCAAGTGGTGGGGATCTCGGCGCCCGCCCCGCAACGGGCGCGCGAATCCTTGGGATTGAGGATTTAGGGCTCAGGGTTTAGGGTGTTTAGGGTTTTGGGGTCTAGGGTTTGGGGTTGAGGGGTTCGGGTTTAGGGCTTGGGGCTCAGGGTTGAGGGATTAGGATTAAGGGCTCAGGGTTGCAAGTTTAGGGTTATGCCCCCTAAGTCTTTGGCCTTTTCCATGCTGCGCAAGGGGGAGGAGTTCAGGGGAACCCAACACCCTTGCAAACCTCAGAAACCCTACGAACCCTATACACCTTCAACCCCCAATTCTTTGCTTCGATCAGTCCTACCCAAAAGCTCGCCAACGTCGGAGAGCCATCCTGGCCAGTTCTGAACCCTAAACCCTAAACCCTAAACCCTAAACCAGGATTCTGTCGCAGTTGCCTGCTGGCATGCTCGACGGGACTCTCTGCAGACTTCTCTGCGGGCCTACTCGGCGAAGTTCTGCAGGCTTCTGCCCTCTTCGGGATTCTTTGCAGGCCAGCCAGGAGACCACCAGGCGAGGAGGCGAGAAGATGGGCCGACGTCGAAGCCACCAACCCCACACCAAAGCTGGAACCCGACAAACCCCCCAAAGGTCCTCCCTAAGCCCTAAACCCTGAACCCTGAAGAGCCCTACACCCTAAGCCCTAAGCCCTAACCCCTAATAAGCCCTAAGCCCTATACTCCCAAAACATGGCGCCAGGTGGCCCCGAAGGGCCTGGCGCGCCGGCACTGCCCGGATGATCTCCGGCGCCACGGGCCGCAGGGACGACACGTGGCGAAAGAGGAAGTCCTGTTCGGGGTTATAGGGCTTAGAGTAGCAAATGATCGGTTTCTAGGGCGTTTGGGGCGCCTAAGGGCCTAAGGGTGAAAAGAGGGGTAGAGTAATGTATTATAGGGCATCTAGAGTTTTCAGGGTTTTCCGCGTGCTTATTTCGGGCGTAGAGGACCCGGAGTCGACTTCGGTCTGCTTCAACCATAAGGAAGGTCATGGATTGACCTTTGCTACGAACTTCTACACAAAGAATGAGGTTGAGAGGGGACTCAGGGTTGAGTAATGAGGGTTTAGGGTTTAGGGATTAGGGTTCAGGGTTTGCGGGCATTTTTCGGCTCACCCCTTACTTCAAGATGCTATCAGCCCTGAACAAAACACAAAAGCAGCCCTGCCGACCCACAGGAACCTTATCATGAGCCCTACAACGCCCTCTAAGCCGCCTAGTTGCTGAGCACCCCGGGGCCAAAAAACGGCTAACCTTTCAATCATGCTAGGATCATGTATACCCCAAAAAAGTCAGCGGTTACCTCCTCAGCTACGAAGCGCCCCTATTCTAGGCTTTAGGCTTTAGGGTTTAGGGTTTAGGGTTCAGGGTGCTTAGGGCTGTGGGGCATGGCCCCGCCTGGATCACGGCCGGATCCATGGCGCGCCGGGGCCGCACGGCTTCGGTTTTGGAAACCAGAAGGAAGCCCTAACCGGAGAATTCAGGCTTCAGGTTCTGGGGGGTTTGGGGCTTGGGGTTTGGGGTTTGGGGTTTAGGGTTTAGGGTTTAGGGGCTCAGCCTTCCCACTTCTCCAGCTTTGTCACAGCCTTGAGAGCGGCGGTGCTACCGCACTTTCCCCAGCTGCGGCAGGCGGAACAAGACTAAGGTTTAGGGTTTAGGGTTTAGGGTTTAGGGTTTAGGGTTTGGGGTTTAGGGCTATAGGGAACCTTGGACGCATTCGCAATCCGATCGACGCCCACAGCCCCGAACCACTAGAACCACTGAATTACAGGATGTAAGGAGGGACCCCTAGAAGGAACCCTTAATCTTATTCCCATATATCACCCCTATATATATATATTATACACATATATATACATATATATATAAATAGAAAAAAGATATATATATATATATATGTATGTATACATATATGTACATATAAATACTTGATATAGTCCCTATACACCTAAGTAGCCCCTAAATAACCTTAGGGGTCCCTCCTTTAGTCCCTGGACTGAATTTATCGAACATACGGATCCTACAGAGGGGCCCTTATACCCCAATCCTAGGAAGCCCCAACCCCAGGAATACTCCCACCCTAAACCCTAAACCCTAAACCCTAAACCCTAAACCCTAAACCCTAAACCCTAAGGCCTGAACCCTAAACCCTAAACCTAGCCTAAACCCTAATCCCTAAACCCTAAACCCTAAACTGCCGCAAACCCTAAACCCTAAACCATGAACCCCCCCCCCCCCCCCCCCTCCCCCTCTCTCGCCTTTGCAAGTTGTCGGAGTCCCCGCGCCAAGCTCCGGCCTGACTTGGTACCGGTTTCGGGTGTTTCGAGCTTCTCGGGCTTAGGGTTTAGGGTTTGAGGGCTTGGGGCCTTGGGGCCTTGGGGTTTGGCGGCCTCGGCTTCGGGCTTGGGCCTTAGGGCTGAGGCCTGGGGCCTTAGCTTCGGATTTAGGTGTTGGGGTTTATGGGTTTAGGATTTAGGTGTCAGGGTTTAGGACTTAGCTTAGGGGGGAATTAGTGGGCTCAGGGCTTGGGATTTATAGATTTAGCGTTTGGGCTTAGGGTTTAGGGTTTAGGATCAGGGTTTACAGTAGGGGTAGGGTTAGGGTTCTGGGGATTTTCGAGGACTTTGGGGGGTTTCTGGTCTGAGGGGTTAAAGGTTAAAGGGAGCTAGGCAGCATTGAAGGCGGGAGACTAGCACCAAGTGCCTTGGCGGACAATGCATGTACTGTAGGCTTCGACCGGGGCCTAAACCATAAACCGTAAACGCTAGACCTTTCTGGGTCCATCCAGGAGTGAGGGGTGCGTGCGGGCTTGAGAGGTTGACAGCCTTTGAGATTCGGGTTGGGAGAGACGGCTCCTAATGCAAGAGAGCGCAACAAACCCTGACACTCGGGGGGTTGGGCTTTAGAGACAGAATGCGCGTTTAGCAGTTTTAGATTCAACTTAACCATGAACCAAGAAATGTCGGTAAGTAGTTTCCCGCAGTAGGTCCTGCCGAATGAAGTTGTTTATTGTTTGGCTTCGGGTCTGTCTAGGGCGGCTGCATGCAGCCAGATCCGTCGTCTTCAGCCGTGCCACACGTCATCACAGCGCTTCTACACCAAGCTGAACTTTGCGATGTCAAACACCAAACAGCCAATCACATGCATCCAAGATCACAGCTTAAGCAAGTAGGTTGCCCCTGCTGCTATGCATCCGAGCACTGGCAATGCATGGTTCAGCCTTCAAACTTGCAGAGCGTGCACATGTCGTTCGGCTATCATACCCATGGTCTGCTTCCATGCTCCTCATGACGTAGATACTTCAGCATAGCTGCGGAGCAGGCATGCGCAACAAACAAGGGCGGGCAAAGATTGCATCAACCGACGCCTGCGATGCAGCACGCTCATGCACAGTTGACCCTGACGTTTTGCCACAGCTCCGCTGCTGTCATCGAGTCTGAATGTGACTACGCCCGCTGCTGTCGCAACGGCGAGATCATGTTAACCTAGCTAGTGGGTTGCTGCCGACCCTAAACCCTAAACCCTATAGGGTTAGGCAAAACGAACCCCGAAGCCCAGAAGCCCGAAACTCCAGACGAGCGGGAAGCGGTTAAAGCGGTATGTAAGCCATCGCTTCAGAGACGTGCCGCAGAATGGTCGCTCTTCTCACTGCGGGAACTTCAGATGCAAGTTGCCGAACAGCAGGCCCTCGTGGCTCAGGGCTTCACATTCGGGGCTTAGGGTTCAGGGTTTAGGGTTTAGGCTTTAGGGTTTAGGGTTTAAGTTGAGCTCTTTTGAGCTTCCTAGGGCTTCAAGGTTTTGGGGGTTTGAGCATGTGAGGATCTGCGGCATCAAGGCATGTAGAGTTTTTGGTTTAGGGTGTTCAAAGTATATGGTTTTTCAAAGCTTTCTTGGGCAGGTTTAGTGGGGTTTGGAGTCCCCTGCAAACAAGCAACCGACATGGCACAGACAAAGGGGCTTGCAGCCTGTACCTATACTCGGCCCTAACTACTTTATATCCCTCCCCCTCCCTTAAAATACAATACGCTCCTGGCAATCGACAGGGCAGCAAAATGTATGTTCATTACGTTCGTCTTGGGAGTTTTTGTTCTTCCAGTTGTTGTAGAATTTGCAGATTTGCAGACACACATCAACCGACCCCATAAGACCCCCCCTAAACATACATTTCCGGGAGCCCGGATTGTATGCCGGCTACCTAGCCCCCCCCCCCCCCCCCCCCAAGACTACATTAGCTAGACCCGGGTATCTGTACCTTCACTTGAAGTCCCCAATCCCGAGTTCAGCAAGGGCCCTGACTACTTAACCCGAAGCCCCAACGCCCACGGCCCTAACTGCCCAAAGGCTGTGCTTTAGGACGTTTCAGATTTTTGGCTGTAGACTTGTTTACGGGTGCAGGCTTGGAAGCCTCTATTATATACCTCTAAAACCCTGACCTTTCCCCTAAACCCTAAACCCTAAACCCTAAACCCTAAACCCTAAACCCTAAACCCTAAACCCTAAACCCTAAACCCTAAACCCTACCCCCTGAAAAAAGGCTCTGGGTTTCAGATCCCCCTGCCTGACCAGCCTTGGGAGGCGCGAAGAAAGGCCTGAGGCTTTCAGGGATTGAAGCCCCAAGAATGAATGTGGGTTTAGGGTTTAGGGTTTAGGGTTTAGGGTTTAGGGTTTAGGGTTTAGGGTTTGGGGTTCAGGGTTTAGGGTGTAGGGTTTGGGGGAGGGTTTAGTTCGGGAGGGCTTCAAAGTCTTACACGCCTAAACGCTTTGCGCACCGCTTTCTCCAGGCTTTCTCCCGCCTCTCCTACCTCGAAACCCTAAACAAAACTCCAAAAGGCCCGAAGCACCCAACCCCTAAACAGTAAACCGTAAACCGTAAACCGTAAACCCTCAACCCTCAACCCTCAACCCTAAACCCAAAACCCTAAACCCACACACCTAGTAGAAGACCTCAGGGGCGGTCCTGGGATTCGCCTCGCCGCCGTTGGCCACCTCGGACAGCCTGGGACCGGCGGCCTGGCTTTACGGTTTAGGATTTAGGGTTTAGGGTTTAGGGTTTAGGGTTTAGGGTCTAGGGTAGGGTTTAGGGTTTAGTGTTAGGGTTTAGTGTTAGGGTTTAGGGTTAGGGTTTAGGGTTTAGGGTTGTAGGGGTATAGGGGTTTAGGGGAAGTTTCCTTCTTTTGGGTATAGAGTGTCTTGGGAATTTTGGGTTTCACGCAATTCGTGCGTACGTAGTTGGGGTACGAGTTTCCGTTTAGGGCTTAGTGCATACTAGGGTGATGGGCTTAGGGTCGAGGGTGGGGCGTCGGGCTCCAGCGTTTCCGAAAAAACAAAACAGCTGCATTAAAACAAGAGGGCTCCTTTCCCTAGAAGCTCTTTTTCGGGTTTGGGGGGGGGGGGGGCACGAAAGCACACCGGAGGCTTCGCTTGCAATGCTTATGTAGGGCTGTTCAGGTTTGGGGTTTAGGGTTTAGGGTTTGGGGTTTAGGGTTTCGGGCCCAGGTTTGTACTCTGCTGAACATAGCTTGGTACCAGCGCGTTGCCCAGGCCTTCGAAGCGTTTAAGATCACCTGCGCCTGCCGTGCACGCACCACTTGCGGCAGCAAAGCATGGCCCGGCTGGAGGAACTGCACTTGGAGGTTCAGGGTACTTAGTATCCCATTTATGAATAGGGTTGAGGGCTTAGGGCTTTGGGCTTAGGGTTTAGGGTTGGGGTTTAGGGCGAAGGGTACTTAGAAACCCGTTATAAGTGTGGTTATAACCCACATAGAAGCCCCCTAACAGGGCTGAAGTAGCCCTGTTTAGAACACAAACCACTTATCTAGTTGCTGGGTACCCTGGGACAGAAAAGCTAACCTTTCAATCATGGTAGGAATATAAACTCCCCAGACGGTTAAAGGTTACCTACTCAGCTGCTACGCTTCTTGAGCTCAAAACCCCTAATCTAAGGCATACAACATCTACCTTCATTTCTAACACCCCAGTAAATTGGGTTAAGTAAGCCCGTGGAGGTCAAGCTCACCTTCTCCTGTAGATTGTGTGATGGCTGAAGTTCATGCTGGTATGGCTACTGGGCACCTTTTTGCACCTTTCGGGAGGTTTCCAGAGGCCGTAGGCCGAAGGCCTGAGAGCCTCAGCTTTCGTTGCGCTCGGTTGAGGGGGTTTTAAGAAGCCCTGCACCGACTGTAAACCGGTTCACCTGAAGGACCTTTCAACTGGTTCGAATTCCTGAGGCGTGCCTCCGGATCTGGCTCAGGATGATCTGAGAAGCCGCTACCTCAAGAAAGTCGGATCACTTCACCGAGCATCCACGGCAAATTTTGGGCGCGCGCGCGCGCGTCCACGGTGGTTCAGGGCTAGAGCATGCTAGTTCTTGCTCTAAACTTTGAAGCTGCGGGCGCAGGTGGCCTGTACTGTTGCCACAATCCTTGCGATGTTGATCTTAGCTGCAAGTCCCTGGGCCCTGGAACGTCCAAACTGCATATGCTTGTTTCCTCAATATCTTCTCCGTGCCCGACATCTAAGGACCCGTAGTGCATTAGGCACCCATAGAAAGGAGATCCTAATTTTTCTGAAGGCAAGGAACCTAGCATGTGGACGTTGGGGGCCTATCTGCCAGCGTTGGCGCGTCTCTTTTCTCCGGGCGCAGGGCTGAGGCAAGCTGATGCAGCACCCCGAACCCCTAAAGGTCTAAACACCCTAAAGCCTTCCAACCCTTCGATAACCCCGAACCAGCCTCCAATCCTTAGACTTCAGCTCTTCTGTAACAACCCCAAAACCCTATGGCACCAATATGAAGCCCCAACGGAACAAAAAGCTTAAAACCCTTGCTAAACCTCCCTAAAATCCTGAACAGCTAAACCCTAAACCCTAAACCCTAAACCCTAAACCCTAAACCCTAAACCCTAAACCCTAAACCCTAAACCCTAGGAAACGCAGCACCTCCCGCCAGAGGTCGGCTCAGGGCTCCTGCTCTCCTCCTCCTTCGGACTTGGGCTGAGTGGCCCTGGGATGCCAGTGTAGCCGTCCACCTGGGCTGCGTCAGAGAGGGGTAGGGTTTAAGGTTTAGGTTTAGGGTTTAGGGTTTAGGGTTTAGGGTTTAGGGTTTAGGGTTTAGGGTTTAGGGTTTAGGGTTTAGGGTTTAGGGTTTAGGGATTAGGGTTTAGGATTTAGGGTTTAGGGTTTAGGGTTTAGGGTTTAGGGTTTAGGGTTTAGGGTTTAGGGTTTAGGGCTGTCTAGGCTTTACCTGGAGGTTCAAGGGCACGTATAGCTTCTAACCCCACTTCGGTGCGATTAGAAGTCCGGTTAGAATTGGGGCTATTTTAGGCTGTGGATATAGTAAGATCTCCTCAAACGAGAAGGACCCCAAACCCTAAACCCTAAACCCTAAACCCTAAACCCTAAACCCTAAACCCTAAACCCTAAACCCTAAACCCTAAACCCTAAACCCTAAACCATATCCCACCAGGGCCGAGCCACTGGGCTACCGATGACGGGCAGGTCCTTACTTCTCCAATAGCCAAGGAGAAATAAGGGTTAAACCCTTTATCAGTCCTACAAAAAAAGGGAAACTCCATTGGCTAAGGTAACCCTAACCCCTAAACCCTAAACCCTAAACCCTAAACCCTAAACCCTAAACCCTAAACCCTAAACCCTAAACCCTAAACTCCAAGGGTCGGCCGACAGAAAGCGCAGGAGGGCGCCGGGGTTGTCGACGATGTAGCGGTGCTCCGTCGCCCAAGACCCCGGCTTCCTTGCCTCTTCGAACCAGCGCTCCTGGTTGAGGTTTAGGGTTTAGGGTTTAGGGTTTAGGGTTTAGGGTTTAGGGTTTAGGGTTTAGGGTTTAGGGTTTAGGGTTTAGGGTTTAGGGTTTAGGGTCATGTAGGGTTTAGGGTTGAGGGTTTAGGGTCATTTAGGGCTTAAGGTTTAGAGTTTAGGATTTAGGGTTGAGGGTTTGAGGTTTAGGGTCACTTAAGGGTTTGAGGTTTAGGGCTTGAGGTTTAGGGTCCTTTAGGGTTTAGGGTTTAGGGTTTAGGACTTAGGGTTTAGCGTGTTTGGGTTTTTCGTTTTTAGGCTTATAGAGTTTAGGGTTTAGGGTTTTGGGTTGTGTTTTTAGGGTTTACGGATTTTAGGGTTTAGGGGGTGTTTGGGTTTAGCGTTTTGGATTTATTGTTCTTCGGGTTTATAGGGTTGATTGGGTTTATTGGGTTATTGGGATTGGGGTTGGTGTTTGGCGTTGTTTGGGTTTATAGGGTTATTGGGATTATTGGGTTTAGGGTTTACAGGGCTTCTAGGGGTTAGGGTTTATTTGGGTTCAGGGTTTTGGGTTTATGGGATTAGGGTGTATTGGATTTAGGGTTTAGGGCCCCGGCGGGGGGCAAGTGATCGCGGCTGGCGGCGACCAGCTCCGCGGATCTAAGCCCGAACCGTTACTACGCCGCCGGTCCAGCTCCCAAGATGCCCCCTCCTCAAAGACTCCGCCTGCCACCTCGGACCAGGCAGATAGCTGCTCGGGGCGGCATCGGTTGTCCCCCTTCGCACACAGCGCACACACCGGCACCTTGGGGACATAATGATGCCCAACAGGAATTCCGGTTTCATCTGGGGATTCTGGTTCATTTTCCTTAGTACATCTACCTGAATGGGGATTATACATCTACCTGAATGGGGATTATGGTTCATTTTCTTGAATAAGGATTGTACGGAAAACACTTCTCAGGGTCTATGACACTACTAAACCCTAAACTCTAGACCCTAGCTAGTCCCCCCAAGGCACTAACCCTAAACCCTAAACCCTAAATCCTAAACCCTAAACCCTAAACCCTAAACCCTAACCCCTAACCCCTAACCCCTAACCCCTAACCCCTAACCCCTAACCCCTAACCCCTAAACCCTAAACCCTAAACCCTAACCCTAAGTCAACCCTGGTCCCCCAAGGCACTGAAAGCTTGTCGAGGGAGCTTGGGACGTAAGACTCCAGCAGGGAGAAGTCTCCCTGAAGCACGGGGCGGATGAAGCCACGGATGTAATCCTCCTGGAGGCTAGGGTTTAGGATTTAGGGTTTAGGGTTTAGGGTTTAGGGCTTGGGGTTTGGGGTTTAGGGCTTGGGGTTGAGGCTTTAGGGTTTAGGGTTTAGGGTTTAGGGCCGCCCTGAGCTCTCAGGGCTCAAGCGCATTGTTAGGCTCAAAAAACCCCCATAAACCCTACAAACCCTGCAAACCCTGCAAACCCTACAAACCCTATAAACCCTATAAACCGGGTTTAGGGTCTAGGGTTTAGGGTTTAGGGTTTACCTATCACCCCTATAGGCCCCATGAAGCCTACAAGCCCTATGAACCCTATAAACCCGATGAGCCCTGTGAAACCCTGCGAAACCCTGTAAGATCCTATTAATATGAACCCTACAAACCCTATGAACCCTAGAACCCCCCCCAAATCTACTATTTGCTTAAGAACCCCAAAAGAATGAACAACACTTATCCCTATACTACCCTTAATAATAAGGAAGAATATTTTTTCGGGGTTCCTAAGCAATTAGTAGAAGTCCATCCGGGGGCGCTCCTGCAGGTCCGGATTTGCACCGTACCTCCGCTCGAAGTGCCTCCAGAAACCGTCCTCGCCAAGCCTCCCAAGCTCAGGCTGCACGCCATCCTTGGGTTTAGGGTTTAGGGTTTAGGGTTTAGGGTTTAGGGTTTAGGGTTTAGGGTTTAGGGTTTAGGGCTGCACGCCAACCTTGGTGCGCCCCCTTGTTAAGGCCTCCGAAACATACCACAGGTTGAATTAGGGTTTAGAGTTTAGGGTTTAGGGTATAGGGTTTATGTAGGGTTTATCTAGGGTTTAGGGTTTTAGGGTTTGCTGAATAAGATCCTCTTGCTCCAAGTCCGGGAGAGCGGAGAGCACGAAAGACCCCTACCACCCAAGCCCCAAATTGCCAAAACCCAAGCCCCCAATCCTAAGTTACGGGTTTCGGGCTTAGGGCTTTAGGGATAAGACCAACAACCCTCCATGCCCGAAACGCCAAACCCTAAGACCTAAACCCTGAACCCTAAACCTAACCCCAGAAACCCTTCTAGCCCCTCAACCCCCAAAAGCCCAAAACCTTCAAACCCTCAAGACCTAAACCCTCAAGACCTAAACCCTAAACCCTAAACCCTAAACCCTAAACCCTAAACCCTAAACCCTAAACTCCCAAGAGTCGGGGTCGTGGCTTACACCATGAAGTTGCGGGGCCCGGTTGGCCGACACGTAGAGCTTCCTGGGCTTTCGAGGGTTTTCGAGGGGTTTAGGGTTTCGGGTTTAGGGTTTAGGGTCTAGGGTTTGGGGCGCTGAAGCCCAAGATTCGAAATCTTCTCATGTTCATGGCTTCCAGCCTCAACCCAATCCCCCTAAATCCCAAAACCCCGAACCCTGGGCAGCTGTTCGCGATTTTTTGGGGCTTTCACGCGCTCTGGTCTCCCGAGCTGGGGTACGACATGCCCTGCCTCGTAAGAAAATAGGCTTTCTTTTCTCTACTCACACGAATAAGAAGAAGAACAACAACAATGCCAAAAACAAACTCGAGAAATAAAAAGGGCGAGGAACGACAGCTCAAATCAAAAAACTCACGAATACAAGCTGGGTCTGACTTTGTGACGGGCCTGAAGGCAGGTTTTGACATTCAACCTATACTTTCGAGATGACGATTCGTACCAATAAGCAGGCTCATGCGATCACCCTAAACCCTAAACCCTGAACCCTACACCCTAGACCCTAAACCCTAAACCTTACGGGACTTTGAACCAAGTCTTTGCTCTTGGCTGTGAAACGTCGAAGAGACTGGCTCATGCCCGAGATTCATCCCGAAATGGGTAGTTCTCTAAACTCGTGCCCCTTTTAGGCACCCTGTAGAAATACGGCACCCCTAGCATAAGAGAACTACCCTACACCCTAAACCCTCAACCCTCAACCCTAAACCCTAAACCCTAAACTCTCTCAAGACGCCCAGCTGCAGAGGCTCCGGCCAACCCCGGTGTCTCAGCCTCGTCTTCGGCTGAGAGGGGCGGGGGGATAAAGGGGGGTTTAGGGTTTAGGGTTTAGGGTTTAGGGTTTTGACAAGGGTCTAGGGTTCAGGGTTTCGGGTTGAGGGTTTAGGGATGTAGGGGGTAGGAGTGTTCGGTTTGGTGGATCGTGGGTGGGCGCAGTTGGCAGACGCACAGTGCAGTTGCGAATCGGGCGAACAGGTGTTGAGGGTTTAGGGGTTAAGGTTTAGTGTCCCGCCTGTCTACTGTGGATGGGTTTGGGAGTGACGGAGACAATTTACCTGCCTTGTCGAGCTACTGCAGCCTTGCTTTGTCAGCGCAGCCTTGAAAGACATGAGAGGCTTCGCTTGAAGTACAATTGCACTTTGATGTTGGCAAAAGCCAGGGCTTTAACTTGTAACCTGGAAATCAACGACATTCTCCTCCTCTTGGCATTGGCATCGGAATGCTGAATTCCGCTCTGCTTCTCAACCCCGGAAAACTGTTATCTGGCCTCGATCATCTTCCGGCTCTTTTGCAAGGCTTGAAGGACATTTCAGCTGCACGAATTCACTCTGACAAACAATCCTTACCGAGCAGAAGCCCGAAGACCCACGAACCGATCAAGCCGAAAAGTCTAGGGGGGTTCAGGGCGCTCCTAAACCCGAAACCCTACGGTTTAGGGTTTAGGGTTTAGGGTTTAGGGTTTAGGGTTTAGGGTTTAGGGTTTAGGGTTTAGGGTTTAGGGTTTCGGGTTTAGGGTCCCTAAACAGTAAACCCTTAGCCTGTAGGGTTTAGGGTTCTACACTCCAAGAGCGACCAAGTTGCTGCTGCGCCAGCTCATACGCCAGCCAAGCTCCGAAGGAGTGCCCGAAGACGACGAACGGTACCTTAGTGAGGCACGGAGCTGTTGGAGTTTGCTGGGGTTTGGGGTTTAGGGTTTAGGGTTTAGGGCCTAAGGCTTTTCGGGCTTAAGGTTTCGGCGCTTATCTCGAAGTCCATGGCGAGGCTTCCCCAGGTAACCAAATGAAAACAGAGGTGCTCGGAGGTTCATGGGACTTAATAACCACTTATATCTGGGCTTATAACCCTACTTATAATAGGGATAACCCCTATAAGGCAATTTAGGGGTATTATAAGTAGGGTTATAAGTACAATTATAATTGGTTAGTAAGTACTATGAACCTTCAAGTGGGCTTTCTGGCTCAACGAGGTTTACAAGGGAACCCTACCAGTAGCACTGCACATGGGGAAGCTCTCTAGACTACGGATGATCAGGGTCCTAGTCCCTGAGCTCCCAACGGAAGGTTTAGTTTAGGGTTAGGGTTTAGGATTTAGGTTATGATTTCGGGTTTACGGTTCCAGAAGTCTCGTGGGAGGAGCCTTTCCCAAAAAGAGCCAAGGACCCTCCTCCGGGTATACATTTAAGGTGACCAACCCTAAACCCTAAACCCTAAACCCCAAACCCCAAACCCCAAACCTGAACCGCCTTTCAAGAGAGGAAACTCATGTCGCGCCCTGTGATTGCTCATCGCAACGCAAGGTGCAGGCCCGCCCTCCCCCGCCCTCTCCCGCCCTCCCCCGCCCTTTTCCGCCCTTTTCCGCCCTCCCCCCCGCCCTCCCCCGCCCTCCCCCGCCCTTTTACGCCCTCCGCCGCCCTCCGCCGCCCTCCGCCGCCCTCCGCCGCCCTCCCCCCCCCCCCCCCCCCCCCCCCCCCCCCCCCCCCCCCCCCCCCCCCCCCCCCCCCCCCCCCCCCCCCCCCCCCCCCCCCCCCCCCCCCCGAACTGAGCGGAGGATCAAAAGAATGGAGCCTGCAGCCTCTTGGGCCTCCCTAAAGACCCTAAACCCTAAACCCTAAGCCCTAAAATCCTAAACCCTAAACCCTGTTGTTTACGGAGGTCAATACTGTGAATAGTTCTCCCTTGAGGACTTTTCCAAGAACGCCCCAGGCACTTCCTCGAACAAGGGCCGTCCTGGATGCGGGGTGTGTTTAGGGTTTAGGGTTTAGGGCTTAGGGCTTAGGGTTTAGGGTTTAGGGCTTGAGGCCTCCGTGGCATCAACAAAGGAAAGACTTCCGCACTACATGGGTAGTTCTCTAAACTAGGTCCTTTTTTGGGGGAACTTTTTTGAGCAGAGAACCGCAAAGGGGGATGGGGATTCTCTAGACCCGGGAGTAACCTACGAATGAAAAGGGTACCCTTTTTGGTTTTAAAGGGGATTATAAGGGAACCCCAACCCTAAAAAAAGGAAAAAAGGCCTACTCCCGGTCCTAGTTACTTGGCTGACTTCTGAACCCTCCCAAAAGATTAACCTTTAGGGTACTACTTGTAGTTTCTACAAAAACCACAGAGGTTAAAGCCCTAAGAGCAAGCCAGAAGACTAAACCCTTTACTAAACCCTGAACCCTAAACCCTAGACCCTAAACCCAAAACCCTAAACCCTAAACGTACCCCTTGTCCTAGCAGCCCTAAACCCTAAACCCTAAAACCAAGGGAATCGAACCCTCAAAAAGCTCAAACCCCTTTCCACGGGGCCTATGCCATCCAGGGCCGCCCCGGCAAGGGCACTCAGGGAGGTCGCCTGCATCCCAAGGGCTCCTATAACACCCTAAACCCTAGGGTTTAGGGTTTAGGGTTTTAGGGTTTAGGGTTTAGGGTTTTGGGGTTTCAGGGTTTAGGGTTTTAGGGATTACCACCCCAACAACCTAGCACCCTAGACTTGGGATGTTCACCCTTATACTAACAGTCCTTAATCGGGATTATAGTAGGGGTACTAGAATCCCCATTAAGGACTGTGAGTATAAGGGGGAACATCCCAACACTAAACCCCTAACACCCTAAACCCTCAAACCGTTTAGGGCTTCGGAAGTCTGGATTCAGCAACAATGTACTGGAAGAAGTGTCCCAGCAAATTGGTTTAGGGTTTAGGGCTCTTTTTGGCACATGCAACACAACTGATCTCGGTGTGCTACCCCCCCCCCCCTCCTCAAATCTCACCTGATTCGGGCTGCTGCGGCAAGCAAGGCGTGTGTTAGCATCTGCTGCTTCGTCTACGCACCGTCAGGTAAAAGCCGCAGTTTGGCTGGGGTGGCGGGCATGTTCCCCCTAAAGCCAAAAAACCCTAAACCCTAGATCTTCCCTGCACGAAAAAATCGAGTCACCCAAGCCCAAATACCCTAAACCCTATACCCTAAACCCTAAACCCCAAAGCCCTAAACCCTAAAACCCCCAACGCCCTCAACCCTCAACCCTAAAACCCCCAACGCCCTCAACCCTCAACCCCCAACGCCCTCAACCCTCAACCCTCAACCCTCAACCCTCAACCCTAAACCCTAAACCCCAAACCATCCTATTCCCTAAACCCTAAACCATCCTAAACCCTAAACCCTACGGAGCCTGCAGCTTCTCGCCCATGCGAAACCCGCGGCCGGGAAGCTCCAGGGGCATCAGCTCCAGGGCTGCTGGCAGGCCAGGGGCCTCCGCTTTGAACTAATTTTCAGGAGGTTTATTTTATTTTATTTTGTTTTGTTTATAACGGCTTCTCCTTAAGGAGGGTTTTAGGGGTTTTAGGGGTTTTAGGGGTTTAGGGTTTTAGGGTTTTAGGGTTTTTAGGGTTTTTAGGGTTTAGGGACTTTAAAGTGGGTTTCTGGGGTTCATGTTGTAGGGTTGGTAAGGGTTCATAGGGTTTTATGGGGTCTATCGGGTGTGTGGGGCCTCCGCTTCAACTAGTTGTAAGAATGCTTTCGGCATTCTTCTTCTTCGGCCTTTGGACGTCGGTGTTCGTGACATGCGAAACTGTCGTCCCTTTCGGTGCTTTTTGCAGGACATCCAGATCTCTGGTGGCCCGATAAACCCTAAACCCTAAACCCTAAACCCTAAACCCTGAACCACAAAGGCAGCACGTAGGACGTCTGGAGCTTCAGTGGAAAGTAGTTCTTGTCCCCATATGGTCTGTCACTGTTTGGGGTTTCCACTGGCATAGTCGTTGTAGTAGCGCGCAGTATTCAGATTGATATTGTAAGCGATTATCATCTAGTACTTCCTGCTGGGCACGAGAAACTGCTTCCGCTTGGGATTCGTTATTCCCACGCGCTACTCTTTGTCTTATGGCTTGTTATTCTTCTTGTCTATATTTCTGAACTCATCAAACCCTAAACCCCAAGCTTATGTTGAGGCCTCAAGGGATGCGCTGGAAGTTGTTTGCTGTGTTCTTTTTGGTGGGGGAGATGTTCGGTTGAGAAGACAGGTAACCAAAACACCAACCTCCAAACCGACACAGCCCAACAAAAAACACAAAATCGAAAAGCCCTATGTGGTGAGCAAATGATGATCACTTTTTGGCCCTAACATTTAGGGCACCTCCCCCGCCCCCCCCCCGCCCCCCACAAAAAAAAAAAAGAGGTACAATCAAATGAAGAAGTGACCCTGTGTTCTTATAAGCCCTATAGATACCCTCAACATGAACTGCCGGGGGCGGAGCCCAGGGGTGGAAGCAGGCGCCGCTCATCCCCACAGGGGCTACGCAGAAGATCCGCAGCTTGGGAGCACTCGGGGGGCTCGGGGCCGCGGCAATCCACTCTCCATACTTGCCCTGGTTGGCCATCAGCGACAAGGCTTCCTAACTAGCCCTAAACCCTAAACCCCTAAACCCCTAAACCCCTAAACCCCTAAACCCCTAAACCCCTAAACCCTAAACCCTTAACCCTGATTTTAGAAAGAGTGCTTAAGGTGCTCCGGTTTTGTAGAGGGGCCCTTTTCCTTTCGAGACTTCTTGGTACTTTGTCCTGCTGGCGGCTAGTGCTTCCCACAGCCCAGCTGCATGATGTTGCTTTAGGGTTTAGGGTTTATAGGGTTTCGGGTTTAGGGTTTCGGGTTTAGGGCTTAGGATTCATGCAACTCTGAGCCAGACTCTGCCGGACCGGGGGGGGGGGGGGGCAGGTTCAACGAGCCGTCGTGTGTAAAGCTACATTGCCACGGCATCGACCTTACTAGTGGCAAGGATACAACCCTAAACCCTAAACCCTAAACCCTGAACCCTAAACCCTAAACCCTAAACCCCGAACCCAGGTGAAAAAAACACGGTCCAACGTCCAAGGCCGCCACGGCGTGGTCTTCTCCACGGCACCTCCAGAACGCAAAGCACACTCGGACACAGGCCCGCGCAAGATCCCTGGGTCCACAGCATGGCCAGGTTTAGGGTTTAGGGTTTAGGGTTTAGGGTTTAGGGTTTAGGGTTTAGGGTTTAGGGGTTTGGGGGTTTGGGGGTTTAGGGGTTTAGGGGTTTAGGGGTTTAGGCGTTTAGGGGTTTAGGGTTTTTTGGGGTTTAGGGTCTTAGGGTTTTTAAGGAGCCAACACGGCGCAGAGCCCGCCTCCTCGGGCCGCGAGTCGCGCCGCCCCTGCCCCCATCCTTGGCAGCCCAGGAACTTGAGGTTGAGGGTTTAGGGTTTAGGGTTTAGGGTTTAGGGTTTAGGGTTTAGGGCTCAAGCCCTAATATGTTGGGATGTGTCCCCCTTATGATACCAACAGTCCTTAGTAGGGATTAAAATAGGGGCTACCAGAATCCCGATTACTAAGGACTGTTAGTACAAGGGGGAACATGAACAGCCCAACAAGTAGCCGTATTCTAACAAGGGCACCCTGTTTTGAGGGGTTGTTTTTTTTAGAAGGGAGCCCCGTAACCAACAAAGGGATAACGGGTACCACCCAACAACCAAGCAGCCGTCCCAGTCGTCCCGGGCATCTCGATCCCGTTCTCTGTCTCGGTCCCGGGGCTCCCGCTCGCGGTCCCGGAAGTCTCGATCTCGGGTTCCTTGGTAGCCCAGGTTCCTTTTTTCGTAAGGGCCCCCCTTTTGTGGGTTATAAGGGAACCCAGAGCTAAAAGGCAAAAAAAAAAGGCAAAGGGCACCACTCGGCTAGCAAGCTTCGGGATCGTGGCTGGTCCCAGCCACGATCCCCGCGGTCCCGGGGGTCTCCTCGGTCCCCTCGGTCCGTGCGCTGGCGCTTCCAGGGCGCGTCGCCGTCCGCCTTGGCCGCTGCCTGTGGGTGGAGACAGGGAAGACGGCGAGAAGAGGTCTCAAGAAAGGATCAGACTATAAGCCCGGAAAACAGCCGCCACCCCCCAAAGACAGTTCATCCGAAACTCCGCGCTTTCTTCTGCGCGGAGGCCTTGGCGCTGGTGAGGAACTTCTGCATTTGCATCTGGTGGTCCTCCTCGGAGCTCGCTTTCGGCCGATCTTTCAAGGAAAAGGCCTGTACGCGAGGGGTCTCCGCTGGCGCCTCCTGCTTCTGGTATTGGTGGGGCTGCGCAGGCTGCTGCTGGTATTGTGAGTGCTGTTGCTGGTGCTCCATTGTCTGCTTCGGTTGTTGTGTTTGATAGGCATTTTGGTAGAGTTGCGGAAAAGCTGGCTGCTGGGAAGCTGCTTGCTGGTATGCTTGCTGGGGCGTATGCTGGGGTGCATGCTGGGGGGCATGCTGGGGGGCATGCTGGGGGGCATGCTTTGCATGTTGAGTCTGGTGTGCTTGTTGATAGGCCTGGGCCTCTGCTTGCTGGTAGGTCTGCTCATGCTGCTCATATGCCTGCTCACTGGCATGCGCCTGCTGATAGGCTTGCTGCTGTGCTTGCTGGTATGCATGGCGCGGTTGCTGGTAGGCCTCGTGGATCTGGGGTGTCTGGTGTGCCTGCGCTTGCTGCACGTGCTCGACTTGAAACGGTGCCGGCTGGGGTGCTGCCTTCTGAAACGACTGCTGGGACTCTTGATAAGCCTGAGCCGGTGCAGCTGACTTGAAGGCTATCTGTTGTGGCGCCGCAGCTTGCTCGCCCTGTGGTGCCACAGGCGCGGCCTTCGGGGGCGGGTACTGAGGATGCTTTGGGAAGACCGGCTGGCCAAACTCCATCGGGACTTCCGCTGCCGCGGGCTGCGGCGCTGCGGACTTGGATTTGCTCAGCAGGTCCGCCCCTGGCACCACCTGCACCGCCGGCTGCACCGAGGGCACCACGGGTTGTGCCGAGGGCACCACGGGCTGTGCCACAGCCGGGACCGCCCCAGCTTGCTTGGGCAGATTCCTGGCAGGCACCACGTGCCCCGAGTGCGGCTTCCTTCGTAGCCCAGCAGCCATCTCATAATATAAGGGCACCCTTTCTGGGGTTGGCTACTGTATAAGGGAACCTTGAACCAAAAAAAAAAAGGTAAAGGGTACCACTGGGCTACCAAGCTTCGGTGCGATGACTCCCGGTGTCCCCGGCCGCTTCGCGGCGGCCATGCCACTCTTGGCCATCGCTGCGCCCAAAGTCTCCTCGCGCGACGCCGGCTCCCCCACAGCCTGTGTCGCTGCATTCATGGGTAGTTCTCTAAGTAGGGTTTAGGGTTTAGGGGGTTTAGGGTTTAGGGTTTTGGGTACCCATTAGGTACACTAGTTTAGAGAACTACCCTCATGAGGCCGCTCTGGATTAACTATCAGATGCCACGCGCCCTTAAACCCTCTTTAAAAAAAAGTATTCCTGAATATGATCCTCTTAAACCCCATGAGGGACAATCCCTAAACCCTAAACCCTAAACCCTAAACCCTTAAACCCTAAACCCTTAACATAAAGTATCCCTAAAGGCCTTCCTGGCACGGATCGTGCTACAGATGCTGTCCAAGCTGCTGCAGCTTTGGAAGAAGTGGGGGCCTCAGCCGGCGTTGGCGTTGCATCTGCGGCGGCACCGGCGCTTGCCACGGCGCCTGTTTGCGCCATGGCCGTTGCCACATCCACGCTTGCCGGGTAGGAGTAGCCAGGCCTACACTCCCTTTAGAACCAGAAAAATCTCTATTTCTAATATCCTCTTGGGTCTTTTTTATCAATATAAACATAAATAAATAAATGAATAAATGCATATATATACATACAAAAATAGGGAAAATAGTTCCCAAGGAGGATCTAGAGGCATCATGGTGACGGCGCTCATGTTGTTGGCGGGCATCGCCAGGTTGTAGGCAGCATAGAGTGCCGACATGTCGAAGCTAAACCTCGGGCGGCCCTAACCTAAAAAAAGCCCCCCGAAAATATCTTCCCTAAATCTCTTCCTTAAATATCTTCCCTATAAATCATATTCCTAAACTCTAAGCCCTCTTAAACCCAAAATATAAGGAGAAAAAGCACAAAAATGTCCCAAGGGCAGACCCAGAAACCCATAAGACGCCAGGGCCGCGGCCGTGGAGCTGGGGTGCACCGCCGGCGCCTGCGTCTCTGCCTTGGTAGCCACCGTATTATGGGTTTTGGGTTTAGGGTTTAGGGTGTAGGGTTTAGGTTTTAGGGTTTAGGGCTAGCTTATTTAAAAAAGGGAGCCCCGAACCCCCCCCCAAAAGAGGTAAAGGGCACCACTGGGCTAGCAAGCTGCCTGGGTCTCGGTTGGGGCCTCCGCCTGCGCTGGCTCCGGCGCCGGGGCGCTCCGCTGCGGGGCAGGCTCGATCTTCTTCTCCTTTTGTAGCCCGGTAGCCACATATTCAAACAAGGGTACCCCATTTTTGGTTGCTTATATTTTATAAAGGATCCCATCCTTTTTTTTTTGGGGGGGGGGGAGGGGTGGGTGGGGGGTGCTTGCCTTCTAAGGGGCCCCCAGAAGTTAAAAATTGGGGGGGGGGGGGGGGTCAAAAGGGTATACCACTGAGCTGCCAGGTTTCCGGGAGGATGATCGGCTCCGTCACCCTCGGCTCCAGGGCCTTCTTTAGGGTTTAGGGTTTAGGGTTTGGGGTTTAGGGTTTAGGGTTTAGGGATTAGGGTTTAGGGTTTAGGGCTCCAGCGCCTTCTTCTTGTTGTGCTCATGGGCAAGCATTGCCTTCTGCATGTCAACCTGCATGCTCGACTTCTTTTAATTGCCCAAGAACCTAGGATGAATAAGGGTGCCCCCCTTTTTTTCTTAAAGGAGTCTATAAGGGGTCCTAAACCCCGACAAGTGGCCTTGTCTGCTTGAAGGAGTTTATAAGGGAACCTAAACCCCCCCCCCCCCCCAAAAAAAAGCGGCCTCTTTTTGCTTAAAAGGAGTTTATAAGGGATCCCAAACCCACCAAAAAAAGGGCATAAGGGTACTACTGGGCAGCCTAGTCTGTTGCAACTCACTGTTCAGCTCCAATACGTCACTGCGCAGGCCTTCCCAGCTTCCTACAAAAAGGTTTAGGGTTTAGGGTTTAAGGTTTAGGGTATAGGGTTTAGGGTGCTGTAAGGAAGCATCTCAAGCAGGCTAGGACTGCTAGGATGGCTAGGAGATAGGACAGCACGTGCGAGTCGCAGGATACACTTCACAACTTAGGCTGCTTGTTGCTTGCTGCTACTGCCACCAATTTCTCTTCGACAACAGCCAACGCAGTGCTAGAACTACGGCTCGAGCCATGAACGTTGTAAACCCAGTCCTCCATCTGTTTGTGCTTCTTTTCTGCTGCCTGGCACCACTCCAAGCATCTCCATCTGTCTTGCTTAGTCTTCGTCAGCTTGGTGTTTTCCGAAATTAGGGGTACCTTTTTGGGGTCATTATCAAAAGGGAATCCTACTAGGGGGTCCCTTACCCCATGGTTGTACCCCTAAAGGTTCCCCTTAATATACGCTTAATATGGCCTTCTACTACCTTAAGAATCTTCGAAAAGGTACCCAAACACCCAAGGTGTACAACCTTAAGGGTCCAAGGGGCAACCCCCAGATTCCCTGGCCGCAGCTGCGGGTTTAACGCGGGGTTTAGGGTTTAGGGTTGAGGGTTTAGGGTTGAGGGTTGAGGGTTTAGGGTTTAAACCCCAAATCTGGATCTTTGCGATGCAAATGGGGGCCACTTGGGGGTTGGCGCGTCCTGGATGCCCAAGTGGGAGCTAAACCCGAAACCCCTAAACCCTAAATCCTGAAACCCTAAACCCTAAACCCTAAACCCTGAACTCTAAACCCCTTGACGGAAGCTGATGGCCGCACCTGTTGCTGCTCTTTCTGTAGCTGGTCTTCTTGCTCTCTCCTCGGCTCTTCAAGCTTCAGAGCCCTCCCCTTGAAAACACTCAACCTCGATAGGGAACCCCTACACCCTAAACCCTAACCCTAAAACTTAAACCCTAAACTCAAAAAGCTGCGGGCTTGTGGGCTTAGGGCTTCTAGGCATCGGGTTGAAGGCGCTCCTGCAGCCCCCCACCCCCACCGCACCCGCGAACAGGGGGGAACCATGGCAGCTACTGGGCAAGCCACATTGTGGAAAAAGGATCCCCCCAAACAGGGACCCCCTACTCGAAGCAGCCTTTAGGTGTCCCAGAACCAGAAACCTTAAACCCTAGCCCTAAACCCTAAACCCTAAACCCCAAACCCTAAACCCTAGCCCTAAACCCTAAACCCCAAACCCCAAAACCTAAACCCCATTTCATGGGGTGCAGGCCAAGTCGCTGGGCCTTCTCCTGCTCCTTCTTCTGCCGCTGGAGTTTCAGGGCGTTGCTCTCGCGTCGCCCCTGCGGGTTGACATACGGTCTACCCCTAAACCCTAAACCCTAAACCCTAAGCCCTTAGCCCTGAGCCCTAAACCCTAAGTGAGCAAGGCTTCAGGGTTGAGAGTGGGTTTAGGGAGATGAGGAGGGTTTGTGGTTGGTTCGGGGTCAAAGCCCCTGAAACTAGGTTCCCGCGCAAACCCAGGAATAAGATGAATAAGAAGGGAACCCTTGCTTGGATCGACAGAGGGGATTCATGTAGGGTTTAGGGTTTAGGGTTTAGGGTTTAGGGTTTAGGGTTTAGGGTTTAGGGTTTAGGGTTTAGGGTTTAGGGTTTAGGGTTTAGGGTTTAGGGCTCATTTAGGGCTTTGGGCTTTGGGTTTTGGTTTTTGGGGTAGGGAACCGAGGCCTAACAAGGAGGAAAGGGGGAGTGTTGGGGTCTGGGAGGGTTCTCTACTGCTCCGTGAGCCACACGCCTTCTGCATCTACCAGTCAGTTTTCGTGCCCAGGTTGTGTGGCAATGACAAGCCCTAGGAGTCTAGACCCTTAGGCCCTCAACACTAGCAAAACCCCTAAACCCTAAGCCCTAAGCCCTAAGCCCTAAACCCTAAACCCTAAACCCCGGAGCCCTCCCCGAAACAAAAGCAGCTGCCAGGAGCCCTGCCAAGGCGAACTTGAAGTCCCCCTTCGCGTCCCCGGCCGCCTGTGGCCCACGGGGTCTTGGGGTCTAGAACCCCAAAGCCTTCCAGGCCAATCCTTCTGAGCCAAGAGCACATACCCTTCACTCAGCCCCCTGAGGTCCCACGACGGCCACAACACTCCAAAACCCCTAACACCAAACCCTAAACCCCAAGCCCCAAACCTCAAACCCCAAACCAAAGAACCTAAACCCTGAAGCCCGTGGACAAGTGAGGTAGTATGTAGTATATGGATCCCTTACATATAAGGTGTCACCCTGAAAACAAGGACCCCAAAGGACCCTAACTTAGAGAACTACCCCAAACCCTAAACCCGAAACCCTAAACCCTAAACCCTAAACCCTAGTAAGTCTTCAATCCCAGCAAGAGCGCTGCGTGAGCCTCCTCGGGGCTGCCTACATCCGCAGCCTTCTGGACCTTCTAAGGCACGGTGGTTGAGGAGGTTTAGGGTTTAGGGTTTTTAGGGTTTAGGGTGCAGGGCGTCAGGTTTTAGGGCTTAGGGTTAGCACGTTCAGGGTCGTAGCGTGGTGTGGGTTTAGGGCTAAAGGGATGGGGTTAAGACCAGGGCTCAGGGGCTTTGGGGGTTCGGGTGTGTTGGGGGATCTAGGGCTCCAGGGATTTGGGGTTCGAGGCCCCAATACAGTGGACAACCCTAAAGCCTCATGTATCCCTAAACCCTAAACCCTAAACCCTGAACCCTGAACCCTAAACCCTAAGCCCTAAACCCTAAACCCTAAACCCTAAACCCTACACCCTAAACCCTAAACCCTAAACCCTGAACCCCAAACCCTTAACCCTAAACCCCAAACCCTAAACCCTAAACCCTAAAACCCTAAACCCTAAACCCTAAACCCTAAACCCTAAACCCTAAACCCCTCAGCCCCCGAAGCATCCTCGGGGTCTCGGCCTCTCCAGCCGGCTTGGTCTCCGCGGCCTCCTGGTCCTCCTTGGCCTCCGCGGCCTCCTTTGCCTGTTTAGGGTTTAGGGTTTAGGGTTCGGGGTTTGGGGTTTAGGGTTTAGGGTTTAGGGTTTAGGGTTTAGGGTTAGGGGTTTCGGGCTTCTTTGGGTTTAGGGTTTAGGGTTTAGGGGCTCAGGGTCTCAGGTCAGGGGTTTGAGACTCAGGGAACAAGCCCGAGATCCCCTAAAACCAAAATACCCTAAATACCCTAAATACCCTAAAATACCCTAAAATACCCTAAAATACCCCAAATACCCTGAATACCCTGAATACCCTAAATACCCTAAAAAACCCTAAATACCCCAAATACCCCAAATACCCTGGACTCCCTTAGATCCCTGCCTCCTTGTTCTCCTTGTTCTCCTGGGCCTCCTTGGCCTCTTTCAGGGCCTTCAGCTCCTTGGTTTCTAGTAGGTTTAGGGTTTAGGGTTTAGGGTTTAGGGTTTAGGGTTCAGGGTTTAGGGTTTTAGGGTTTAGGGTTTAGGGTTTAGGGTTTAGGGTTTCGGGTTTGGGGTTTCGGGTTTAGGGCTAGGGTTCAGGGCTTTGGGGTTTATAGGGCTTAGGGTTTCGGGGTCGCCCCCTCGCTTAAGGGTTACACAGCACAACCACCCGGAAACCAATGAAGCCCACGTGCAGCGCACGCACACACGCACCCCCTCCCACCCAAGCCCACTCCCCCACACCGTACACGGCGCACAGCACAACGGGAACAGCACAAAGTACAAAGCACAACGCACAACACACAACACACAACCAACACCCGAACCCCAACCCCAACCCAACCCAAACCCAAACCCAAACCCAAACCCAAATCCAAGCCCAACCAAACCAGCGCACCCACACACACACGCATACTTAGTCGGGGGATACTGCAATGGAAGACATGCTGTTGTTACGTCACCCGTCGCATCTCTTACTGTTGAGAATGTTTTCCAACCCTAAACCCACACAAGCCACAAACCAACCTACCATCCCTAATCTGGTTCCCGCTATGCCCGTACCCGACGGTTTTCGGGTTTAGGGTGTTTAGGCTTAGGGGTTGAGGGGCAACGACAGCCATGATAGCAAAGAAACCATAAACCCTGAACCCTGAACCCTGAACCCCGAACCCCAAACCTCAAACCCTAAACCCTAAACCCTAAACCCTACGACCTCCAAACCAGAAACCCTCAGGGCAGCTTCTCAGGCAAGGCGCCCTTCGCTCTCTTTCGCTCGCTTCGCGCGTCTCCTGGGCCTCTTTCGCCTCTTTTGCCGCTTTGGCCTTTTGGAAGTTTAGGCTTCGGGTTTAGGGTTTAGGGCTAGGGTGGCTAGGGTTTAGGGTTTAGGGTTTAGGGCTCGGGTTTAGTGTTTAGGGTTTTGGGCTTCGGGTTAGGGTTTAGGGTTCAGGGCTTAAGGTTCGGGATTAGGGGCTACACCCCAAGCCCTGAGCCCGAAACCCCCAAAAAGGTAGAGGGCGCCGTAGCTCACTCGCCTTCTTTGTAGCCCACCCTTCTTTTGGGCTGGTCACTTTACAAGGGAACCTTGAACCAAGAAAGAAAAAGGGAAAGGGGTATTACTGGGATACCAAGCCTCCTAAGGTCAATCTCAAAGGACCAAAGAAGGCACCCCCCCCCCCCCCCCCCCCTGTGGTTCGGTTTTGGGCTCCCCCCCCCCCCCGCCCCCTGTGGTTCATGGTCTGTGCTTCATGGGTTTATGGTTTAGGGGTTTCGGGTTAGGCTGAGTTCAGGATTTTCACTCTGGTCACTGTGGTTTAGATTAATTAGGGTTCAAGGTTTGGGGTAATGGTAGGTTTACGGTTTCCCCTCTCCCCCCTGTGGTTCGTGCTGAGTTTACGGTTCAGGGGCCAGGGTTAAAGCGGCTGAGGTTTCGGGTTTACCCTTCTCCTTCCGTTTAGGTTTTAGGGCTTAGGGGTCAGGGTTTGGGGTTTAGGCTGAGGTTTCTCTGTCCCCCTCCCCCCCCCCCCCGCGTGGTCCGTGGTGTTTTTAGGGTCAACAGACAGGGTTTGGGGGGGGATACCATGGGGATGGGGGGGGGGGGGGGGGGGGTCGATTACGCGGAACGCGGGCCCATATAAGGGACCTTGAAAGGGGGTGATTTAGGGGTTATTTTGCGGGCTACTTCTCGGTGTAGAGTTCTAGGGACTACATAAGGCATAGGAATAAGACTAGGGGGTCCAGAGGTCCCTCCTTGTACTACCGCTTTAGGGTTTAGGGACTATAGGGTTTAGGGTTTAGGGTTTAGGGTTTAGGGTTTAGGGTTTAGGGTTTAGGGTTTAGGGCTAAGCAATCTCAAGCTGGTGCGACTTTGCGGACCGCGGGCTCTTCTGCGAATGTCTGGGGCTTACGTCTTCGGGGTTTCGGGTTCCATTCGGGTTGGGGAGGGGGGCCTCTTCCCTAAACTCTATAAACCCTAAACCCTAAACCCTAAACCCCGAACCCTAAACCCTAAACCCTAAACCCGAAACCCGAAACCCTAAACCCTAAACCCTGCATCTCTGAGGGCTTGTGGGCTGTAGGCTGCGGGCCTCTGCTGCCGCCGCCTCCTTCTGCTTTGCCTCAGAGGCTTGCTGTTGGTTTAGGGTTTAGGGTTTAGGGTTTAGGGTTTAGGGTTTAGGGTTTAGGGTTTAGGGTTTAGGGTTTAGGGTTTAGGGTGACACTTCGTAGCATATGGGTGGCTGTCAAAATTATCATCCCGTTTGGGGTACCCTAAATATTAGGTGCCGTATTGTAATAGGGATCCGAAAAGGGACCAGAATTTTGACAACCACCCATATGGTCCCTTACCCTCTTTAAAAGGGCTCTGATGTAAGGGCTTTGGGTTGCGTAGGGTATACAAGGGGTGTATACTAAGGGACCATGAAACTACCCTTAGAGAGGTTCGCACACCCTAAAATCCCTGGTCTCCAGCAGGCTCCCCTACTCAGAATTCAGACTGTAGGGGCTTAGGATTGAGGGTTCAAGCAGGGTTGAGGGTTTATTTAGGGCTTCAGGGTTGAATTGGGGGTTTGCGGTTTAGGGTTTAAGGTTTGGGGTTTAAGGTTCGGGTGTTCAAAGGATTAGGGTGGGTACTCTGCCGAGGCCGCTGCCTCTTCCGCCTCTTTGGCCCGTGCTGCCTTAGGGTCTTAGGGTTTCAGGGTCTCAGGATCTTAGGGTCTTAGGGCCTTAGGGTCTTAGGTCTAGGGTTTAGGGTTTAGGGTTGAGGGTCAGGGATCACCCAAAGCACCCTAAACCCTTTGTGGAGTCTAGGTTGAAGCTAAACCTCTTCCTACCATTTCAAAACGAGCCCTCGTGCCTGAGCTAGGATAAAAGCCACCCAAACTGGCACGTAAACAAATATGTTAGTTTCTTGCTGGGCCACAGCTTCTTGGGGTTTAGGGTTGTTAGAGCTCCGAGGATGTTTATGGTTTTCGGGGTTTACTGTATAGTTTACAGGTTTATATAGGGTTTAGGGCTTCAGGGTTTACAGGCTTCACTACGTATGCTTCACTGCCAGTCCTATGTTCACCGTTGGTAACCGAGCCTGTTCGCCAACATTCTCAACTGCACAACAATCCGAGCAAAACGCGCAAGTTTAAAAGCACCAGGATTAAAACGCGCCCGGGGCCTGCTAAAAGGATCTGAGGCTTGGGCTTCGGATTGTGCTGAAACACCCAACTCCGAGATCCTTAATCCTCAACCCCGAAACCCCAAGTAACCTTAATCCCTAAACCCTAAAACCTAAACTAAACCCTAAACCCTAAACCCTAAACCCTAAACCCTAAACCCTAAACCCTAAACCCTAAACCCTAAACCCTAAACCCTAAACCCTAAACCCTAAACCCTAAACCCTAAACCCTAAACCCTAAAGCCTAACCCACCCTGCCTCTTTGGCGGCTTCATCCTCTTCGGGCTTTGGCGCCTTCTCCTCCTTCCGTGTAGGGCAAGCTTTGGGATAGTTGTTTAGGGTTTAGGGCTTAGGGTTAGGGTTTCAGGTGTAAGGTTTAGGGTTTAGGGTTTAGGGTTCAGGGAAGCTTAGGGTTTAGGGTTTAATTATTGAGCCTGGCGGTGTGCCTTAGCCAACAGCTCAATCTGCCTCACCGAATACGTACGAGCAGCACTTGCCTCCCGTGCCCCTGATGAAGACTCTGGGTTTAGGGTTTAGGGTTTAGGGTTTAGGGTTTAGGGTTTAGGGTTTAGGGTTTAGGGTTTAGGGTTGGGGTTCACGCTCAAGAGTTCTTGGATGTCCAGGGGAAGAAGAAGGCTGTGACTGTTTGCCCGAAACCCTCAAACACCCGGTCCCTTCCAGTCAGGTGCTACAACCCTCAACCTGCCTGCAACGGGACCTGCAACGGGACCCCCCTGTGGTGTGAAGAGGCAAAAACCCTCACAAAGCCCTGGAGCGGTCACGTTTCGGCCCTCTTCAATGAGGGGCAACTTGTTGGGAGGCTTCCCACATTAAGGATCAGCTTGCTTTTGTGCATCTAACGGGCTCCCCTGCTTTTGGCAGCTTCCGTGTGGCAGTGGAGGACAGTGTGCTGCAAAACTTGGTCTGCCGCGTATCTTGCATTGCTGCAGGGTTTGCCCATTTCGGGTTTAGGGTTTAGGGTTTCGGGTTTAGGTTTTAGGGTTTAGGACCTGTGTTTTGAGGCAATCTGGAGAGCTTCCATGACGCGGGAACAAGGCTCTCAGACGAAGCGAACAGAAAGAGTTACCTATGACCTATGACGAGATAAGGACATTAAAACAAAGGGAAGCCCAAACACGAAACCACTCGTGCTAACGGGTTTATGTGTGGGTGTAGCTGCACCGACTTGAGTGTTGGCTCTCTCTCTCTCTCTCTCTCTCCAGCCAAGGAAGTACTTTGCCCGAGTTCCTTCTACACCTTCAATACAATGCACACAACTCCCTAAACCCCAAACCCTAAACCATCCGTTCGATGAAAGAACTCGTTTCAAGAGTCAGCTGTCGCCTTCTTTTCGGCTTGATAGCTGGGTGACCTGAGCACAGGATGGCGAGCAATGGCGAGGGCTTCGGGTTTTTTGGGGCTTTGGGAAGTTTAAGGGGCTTAGGGTGCAGGGTTTAGGGTTTAGGTATAATCACAAAGGCACACACCTCGCACAAATGTAAACTAGGTGCACCACCCTTTCGTGCGACTGCACAAAAAACAAAATACCTGGACCTCCTCGGGCCCTTCACCCTCTCAACCCAAGAAATATTCAGCATACCCTTGGGCATACCCTTCAAGAAACTTAAGGGTATGGTAAAGTCCTTCCTTATATCCTCCTTTTATAGGTTAAGGGGTATGGGTTTGGGGTATGTTGAGTTCTTCTTAGACCCAACCCTGAAAAGCCCTAAGCCCTAAGCCCTAAGCCCTAAGCCCTAAGCCCCAAGCCCCAAGCCCTAAGCCCAAAGCCCAAAGCCCAAAGCCCAAAGCCCAAAGCCCTAAGCCCTAAGCCCTGAGCCCTAAGCCCTAAGCCGCCCACTTCCGAGTCTTCAAGTATAGCAACCTTGTGCTCGACTTGGGCTATGAAGAAAGTTCGCACCCTAACCCTAAGCCCTAAACCTGAAGCTCTACGTAGGATTGAAGTACCTTGGACCTCCAAGAAACGTAAACCCTAAACCCTAAACCCTAAACCCATGCTGCAAGCCCTACATCCCCAGCAACCCCAGAAGCGTTGCGCTTGGGCCCCCCTACGCTCTCTGCGGAGCGGCCTGCGTAGGGGCGGTTTCGCTGTGCAGGTTTCGTTTCCAAATACGATATCGGTTTAGGGTTTAGGGTTTAGGGTTTAGGGTTTAGGGTTTAGGGTTTAATGTTGACTTCGCATTTATAAACCCCCCCCCCCTTGATTGATCAATCTCTCTGGCCAGGGCCTCCTCAATTATATTCGCCTAAATCCTGGTAGGACGTACTATTAGTTTTAGTATTAGGTAGTAGCCACCACGCCCGTAAAAAAAAAATCCGGGCTGGATTTTATAATTGTGGGGGGTTACATTATTGTGTTCCGGCAGCTGGATTTTATAATTGTAGCGGGAATCATTAATGTGAAGTCAACATTAGGGTTTAGGGTTTAGGGTTTAGGGTTTAGGGTTTAGGGTTTAGGGTTTAGGGTTTAGGGTTTAGGGTTTGGGTTCGAGGGGGGTTTCGGGCCTAGGGTTGGAAACTTAGGGACTCTGGGCCCGAAACCCTAAACGTTCCTAAGCCCTACGGGCTGTGCACGACGCTCCCTTAGGCCATAAACCTGACGAGGGCATAGGGCATAGGGTTTGGGGTATCCCTAAACCCTAAACCCTAAATCCTAAACCCTAAACCCTAAACCCTAAACCCTAAACCCTAAACCCTAAACCCGAGGCTTTAGGGGTCAGGCTTTGGGGCCGCGGCTGATCTTTTCATTCTCATGTGGGGCGTTAAGCCTAGCTGAAAGGGTCACAGTGGCCCCTGCTTACCTACTATTTGCCTAAGAACCACAAAGGAATAAACAACTTACCCATAATAAGGAAGAATACATTTTTATTGTTTCGGGGTTCTTAAGCAACTAGTAGTTACTTTGTAAGACCCTTTCGTGAACCTAAGACCTTGTATTCCCGATCCCTAAACCCGAAACCCTCGTACCCCAAAAAAATGGAACCCTAAAAACCCCCAAAACCCTAAAACCCTGAATCCCGAAAAGCCCTTAACCCTAAACCTAAAAACCCTGATCCCTCAACCCTAACCCCTAAAACCCCAAAACCCTAAAACCCCCCAAAACTCCCGACACCCTAAACCCTAAACCCTAAACCCTAAATCCTAAACCCTTGGCCTGCTTTCGGCGGGCGGGAGGGCTTGGGCTGCTTGTTGCCTTGCGCCGGGCCTTGTCCTATTTGGCACGAGCTTTTGCTTGGCTCCCGGGGCTTAGGGCTTAGGGCTTAGGGCTTAGGGCTTAGGGCTTAGGGCTTAGGGGCTTAAGGCTTGGGGCTTAGGGCTTAGGGTTTAGGGTTTAGGGTTCAGAGGGTTGAGCTCGTCCTTGCTTTTTGTTTGTTGGCTAGCGGGTTGTAGGGGCTTAGGGTGCTTGAGGAGTTTAGGGGCTTTACGGGCTTCAAGGGTTTGAGGGGGTTTAAGGGTTTGGGGGAAAAGGGTTTGGGGTTTTAAGTGTTCGGGTTTGGAGAGCCTTGGCATTGGAGATCGTCATTAATTACTACTTGTTATCTTGGGTTTCGCGACGTTTCGCGTTTTTAGTGTTTCTTGTTGGGGGATGCGGGGGGGGGGGGGGGGGGGTTGAGGGTTGGGGTGTTCAGGTTTTGGCGTTGTACGTTTTTCTGGATTTGTTCGCGTTTGCGGTTTTTGGCGCTTTAGATTTGAGGAGTTTGTCGGGGGCTTCTTGGGGTGATCATAGTAACCGCAGTAACCCTAAACCCTGAACCCTAAACCCTAACTAGTTTTCACAGTAGTCATATTCAGACAGCCTCATGTTTCTGGGACTTTGGCTCGCCGGATTAAGGCAAAGTGTGGGTGTGGCACGGCTCAGGGTCCCCCTAAACCCTAAACGCTAAACCCTAAACCCTAAACCCTAAACCCTAAACCCTAAACCCTAAACCCTAAACCCAGGGAAGAAATCGGTCCTTCCGCTCCTCCTTCCGCTCCTCCTTGCGGTCTTCCTTGCCTTGGTTGCCCAGGAACCATAGTAGTTGTACTATGGCACCCTTTCTTGAGGTTGGTTGCTTTACAAGGGAACCTTCAACCCCCCAAAAAACCCTAAACCCTAAACCCTATACCCTAAACCCTAAACGCTAAACCCTAAACGCCAAACCCTAAACGCCAAAAAAAGGTACCACTGGGCCACCAGGTTGCGTTCTTCCTTGCGCTCTTCCTTGCGTTCTTCCTTGCGGTCGTCCTTCTTGTCGCGTCGGCTGCGGCCCTGCCCCCGTGGAACTTCGCAACCAGTGCCCTATTTAGGGTTTAGGGTTTAGGGTTAGGGTTTGGGGTTTAGGGATCTGCTGATCCCCTTGAAGCATGATTGTGGGAGCTTGGGGCTAGGGTACTGGGAAGAGGAGGCTTCACTTCATTTACGTCTTCATGTGGGGTTCTAAGGCCTATAGGGCTCAGGGTTTAAAATGTTGCTGGGCTCAGGGGCTTTGGATGAAGTTAGGGCTGCAAACGGAACATTTTAAACGTCGCCGAGCATACACCGGTGCAACCACTGAGTGAAAGAATGACCACAAAGTGATCCGTCGATGCGCTTGCTCAAGGTGAAACTACTAGACACATCTGACGCGTCTGCATGGAGCCTTAACCGAACTTCTTGCCGGTTTCGCTCCAGCAATGAGTCACGTGAATTTCTTGCTGGTTCTTGAACAGGACCCGATATCCCCCTCCTACATACCTTATGTAACCTTGATTTTATAGGGTTACAGCACCCACTAAGCCTAGAGCCCTAAACCATGAACCCTAAACAATTCTAAGAACCAACAAGGTTTGAGTCTTGCAGCCCTCTTCCATCCGAGCGACCGCCAGTCGTCTGATCAGGTTGGCATGTCAAACTCCCCTACGTTCCTCTGCAAACAATAAGCCCTAATAAGCCCTAAGCCCTAAGCCCTAAGCCCTAAGCCCTAAGCCCAAAGCCCTAAGCCCTAAGCCCTGAGCCTGAGCCCTGAGCCCTGAGCCCTGAGCCCTAAGCCCTAAGCCCTAAGCCCTAAGCCCTAAACCCTAAGCCCTAAGCCCTAAGCCTAAGCCCCAAGCCCGAAGCCCTAAGCCCTAAGCTCTAAGCCCTCAGCCCTCAGCCCTAAACCCTAAGCCCTAAGCCCCAAGCCCTAAGCCCTAAGCCCTAAGCCCTAAGCCCTAAGCCCTGAGCCCTGAGCCCTAAGCCCCCCTTTTGGCCCAAGGGGGGGTCCGGGCGGCTTCAGGGGCTGCAGGGTCTCGGGTTTTGCATAAGGACCAGTACTGGACCCCATCGTGGGCACGACCGACGCCCTGGGATCGAGGTTGAAGGGTAGGGCTTAGGGTTTAGGGTTTAGGGCTTAGGGCTTAGGGCTTAGGGCTTAGGGCTTAGGGCTTAGGGCTTAGGGCTTAGGGCTTAGGGCTTAGGGCTTAGGGCTGGGCTTGTCTGGGTTTTGTCGGGGTGTTCTGGGCCTCTCTGCCCCCTTGGCCCCCGCCTGCCCCTGCATCTGGGCCTTTCTGCCCTGTGGCTTGTTTTGTGAACCTGAACCAGGCTGGCGACCACTGTGACGGAATGAAGAAGTTTTATGGAAAGTAAGCAGTTGGCTTGAGTGTAGGCCTAAACCCTCAAAGGAACAGGTTTGGGTGGCTTTGGATGGCCTTCCACAATCGGGCCAAAGCTGCTCTTCGCTGTTCCAAAACCTACCTTCACAGCATCTACGCCCTATCACAGCAAACCCTACACCCTCAGCCCTAAGCCCTAGGCCCTAAACCCTAAACCCTAAACCCTAAAACCTCAACCCTCAACCCTCAACCGAATTTCCGAACCCAAAAGGCCAACCTGGCTTCCTTCAAAAGGCTATCTGGAGGCGTCCCTTCCTGGAAAAGCAGGTCGTGACCCCAGGGGAGGTCGAGAGGAGATAAGTTAGGGTTTAGGGTTTAGGGTTTAGGGTTTAGGGTTTAGGGTTTAGGGTTTAGGGTTTAGGGTTTAGGGTTTAGGGTTTAGGGTTTAGGGTTTAGGGTTCAGCATGTCAAGTCCAAGCATTCACTAGTCAAGAAATTGCTCCAGAAAAGTACCCACCCGCCCAAAGAATCCCACAACATTAAGAAAACATTTCAGTTATGGAACGACCTTGCCCAGTAAAAAAATGACCTTGCCCAGTAAAAAAATAACCTTGCCCAGTAAAAAAATGACCTTGCCCAGTAAAAAAATGACCTTGCCCAGTAATGACCTTGCCCAGTAATGACCTTGCCCAGTAAAAAAAATGACCTTGCCCAGTAAAAAAATGACCTTGCCCAGTAACTCCTTAACATTTAAATTATATATGAAAGAGATGTTTAGGGTTTAGGGTTTAGGGTTTAGGGTTTAGGGTTTAGGGTTTAGGGTTTGTTTAGGGTTTATGGTTTAAGCTTCAGGCGGAGGGTGAGGGGTCCGGAAAAGGGGGGGTGCTCCGGGTTGTGGATTCCAGGTTTAGGGTTGGTAGAACCCTCCTAAACCCTAAACCTCTGACCCCGAAACCCTCTAGCCCCGATGCACGGAGATGATGCTCGAGGGGTATCCCCGGAGCCTTTGAGTTTCGAGTCTCAGTCGTCTGGTGCGAAATTTTCTTAGTTGCTGAGTTCATGTGCACGCTTTCAATTCTAATCGGGGATTATGGCACAAAAAGCGTACAGTGTCCTCACTCAGCTACTAAGAAAATAGCCGAGTCACCTGAGGTTCCTACCAAATTCCCCCGCCCTCCGCCCCACCCCCCCAACCCCTCCCCCCAGAGAGACTGATGCTCAACTTGATGGTCTCCTGCACATAGGCCCCGGACCCTAAACCCTAAACCCTAAACCCTAAGCCCTAAACCCTAAACCCTAAACCCCCTAATCCACTCCCCTGGAGTGAGAAATGCCCGCGGAAGGTTGAGAATGCCTCACTGGCCGGACAGGGCATCAACAACGACCCTCCTCCAGCGCAGCCAAAGGCCAAGCTTCTTGAAACCTCTTCGGTTTTGGGGGGGTTTAGGGTTTAGGGTTTAGGGTGTAGGGTTTAGGGTTTAGGGCTTCGGAACCGAAGCTTCTTGGGCCTTGGGTTGTCTCAGGGCTTTTGGGGATTTAGGGCTCAGGGTGTAGGACTTTAGGGCTCTCTGCTAGAGGAGGGCCGACCATGGCAAGACGACGTGTGAAAAAGCCTAAGTCCGGCAGGGTTTCGGGTTTAGGGTTTAGGGCTTCGGGCTTGGGGTTTCGGGTTTTACAGGGTTTACGGCTTAGGGTTTCGGGTCCCCTTGAACGCAAGGGCTTTCAGCGACATCATGTCGCTGGGACTGCAGGTGCTGTCTCATCCCGACACATCCTCGGATGCTTTCTGGCTCTTCGTAGATGAAGGGGTTCACCGAAGGGATTCTACCAGGCATTTTCCCCAATTAACGGCGTCCCCCCTATTGGAATGCTGCAATCCTGTGCCCTCCCAAAAAACATCAACGACTTTGGGAGACGCCCACATAAGGGGCTTAGGGCTCCATAAGGGACTGCGCTAAACCCTACACTCCAACAAACGCTATCATAGGATAGGGTTTAGGGTTTAGGGTTTGGGGTTTAGGGTTTAGGGTTTAGGGATTAGGATTTAGGGTTTAGGGTTTAGGGGTTTGGAAGTTGAGGGTTCTGGCGCATGGTGTAGGGTTCAGACTTAGGAGACCTGAAACATAGCGCAGCCCAAAAAGCCCAAACAAAAAAGCAAGCTTGGGTTTAGGGTTTAGGGTTTAGGGTTTAGGGTTTAGGGTTTGGGGTTTGGGGTTTAGGGTTTAGGGTTTAGGTAGGGTTTAGGGTTTAGGGTTTAGGGTTTAGGGTTTAGAGCCTTCTGGACTAGAAAACAGTCGTACAGGATACGAAATTCCGCGGCCCTGACTTCTTGATCCTCACAGCTTAGACCCAACGCAGACCCGCCGGAACTAGCCGGCTGTTTAAAACCTGGTAGCAGAACATCGTTTGTCAAAGGGTGGCGGGGCTAATCTCTAGCAGACAGTAGCCTCAAGCCTCAAGCCTACTTCCCATTCCACAAGACCAACCACACGGGTCCTTGGTTTTCTCATCTGTTGCTTTGCTGTCTCTTCTTGTGCTTGTTGAAGCTATGTGGGCCTTCTTTGGGTCCCCGAAACCCTAAACCCTAAACCCTAAACCCTAAGTCCTAAAAGCAGGTTGGGTGAGCAGAGTGCAGGATCCCATAATATCCGCCAGGGTTTGAACCCTAAACCCTAAACCCTAAACCCTAAACCCTAAACCCTAAACCCTAAACCCTAAACCCTAAACCCTAAGCCCTCTCGGCTGATGATGGTGGAGAGGGCTCTGGGAGGGCGATCTCCAAAACCGCAAAACATTTGAAGCCTAAATAAGGGTTTAGGGTTTAGGGTTTAGGGTTTAGGGTTTAGGGTTTAGGGTTTAAACCCTGATACCTTGGGATGTTCCCCCTTATACTAACAGTTCTTAATAATTATACCAGGGCATACGTCAATCCCTATGTGAGTAGAAGGGGGAGCACCCCAACCCTAAGGTTTAGGGTTTTGGGTGTCTAGGGCCCCGGAAACCCCTACTTTAAGGCCCAAAGCCCGAAGCCCTGCACTTGTAAACCCCCAACAAAACCCTAGCACCCCAAATCCGAAATATCCCAAAACCTCCGACATTGCAACTAAAGCCTAAACCCTTGAACCCTAAAATCCCAAAAGCCCAAACCTCTAGACCCTTACACCCCAAAATCCTAAAACCCCCAAAATCCCAAAACCCCCATACAAGTAGAACCCAAATCCCCAAATCCTGAACCCAAAACCCTAAGCCCCAAACCCTCAACCCTAAGCCTAAACCTCAACCCTGAACCCTGAACCCTAAACCCTAGACCCTAAACCCTAAACCCTGAACCCTGAACCCTGAACCGGCTGTTCTCAAGGTGAGGCGCCACTTAGCCCACTCCCAACTCCAGTCCACGACGGGCCGGAGGTACTCGTTGCGCCCATACGCTGCGGCGCCGTGCACCCACTCCTCGGTTGAGTTTAGAACTTTAGGCTTTAGGCTTTAGGCTTTCGGCTTTGGGATTTGGGCTTTAGGCTTTAGGCTTTATTTAGGCTTTAGGAAAGCCCCTAAAGCAGGCCCTGGTTGGGGTTTTGGGTTTTGGTTTTTGGGTTTAGGGTCTAGGGCCTCGTGGACTCCAAACCCTGAGGCCCAAAACCAAATCCAAATCCTTCTAGTAGCAAAGACCAGATTCCCTGAACTCCGAACCTGACCTAACCC